CGCTGGGTGCTCTGCTGGCGCCGGGTCGTCTGCTGCTGCTGCTGCTGGCGCTGGGTGGTCTGCTGCTGCTGCTGCTGCTCTGGGTCGCTGCTTCTGCTGCTGCTGCTCCTTTGTGGTTTGCTGCAGCTGCTTGGTGGTAGACTGCAGATGCTTGGTGTGCTGCAGCTGCTTGGTGGTCCCGCTCACCGCACGCAGGGGGGAGTCGAACCGCGGGGGGGGGTCCATAAGATTGATTTAATCAATTATTTGAGGTTTCTGAGGTGCGTCCACCCCGTCACTTAACTTGCTAAAGCAAGAGCAACTCCAGCTAGCTAAGGCTAGCTTTCGTGAAAAGTTCACAAAGCGATTACATTGCAGTCTGAATGCCTATGTAGTAGTTGTACCATGCTGATAGGGTCAAACCCACCAGGTTTCGACCTCTCATCAACTGTACCACCCTTGGCACATAGCCAGGTGCGTAGAGGTCATCATCATCAAAGTTTACAATGTACTCGCCGGAGGCCAAATGCAAAGTCATATTACGCTTCAAGCCAACCTGAGAAGCAAACCAACATCTGTGCGTCTTGGCAGTTGCAAACCTCTTTCAATCTCTTTCTTGAGTATGTGTGCCACAACTCCCAACACTGGGCAGGCAGGTGGTGCAAAATCTTGCAGCTAGGGCGCAGTGAAATCTTTGCCGGGACTAACTTTGATGGCCACATGCACCACTCGCTCATCATCCTTGGCCACTTTCTGTAAGTAGCTGGATGGCTTATCCTCATAGGTTTCAACCACGATCAGCTCCTGAAGGCTCAATGCTCTTCAGCAACCCCTGTGTATAACAACAATGACCTAGCAGGACCTAGCATAGCAATACGATGCAATACGAAATACGAAACATCACTCAAGTGGCTCACAGATCCAACAAAATATCACAACGTCACGTATCACACTCAAGGTTTTCTGACATGTCGCAGATCCTTGTCAAGGTAGTCTTGGGCTTCAAAGCAGCGGTACAGATTTTCGTGGTAGTGCTGCCGCGAGGCCATGGAGGGTGCAACAATCGACACTCGGCCTGGGATTTCGCACATGACCTGGGTCCCCACATCGCACGGCAAGCGAGGCAGGTGACGGAAGCGATCGAGTTGTTATCAACTATGTCGCTTCTAAGAAAACGCCCCAAATAATGGGATACTAATAATCAAAACAAGTGGCAGCAGTTGTCCCTGTGCCTATAGAGAAGTTCATGGGCACCCGCCTCTTTTGTGCCATCTCAGTTGGGTTGTAGACCCCATCGGTCGTCTCAAAAAGCATTCTCTCAAAAGGATGCCAAGCGATCGCAGAGGGCTGTCGAGCATGCCCCTGGCGGCTTGGAGTCCTTGAGTGTGAATGCTGGGAGGCCTGTGGTGTTGTGCCAGTGCCATGCCTTGAGGCTGAGGGGCTCAAACCACCTGAGGACAACCCGATGGAGTTGTTGTTCGCTCGAGAAGTGTGAGATAGGGGGCTGGATGAGACGATGGGTTGATCTCCTTTCGGTGCTTTGGGTGGTGACTCGTTGCCCAGTTCCTTCTCGGACGTGCTGGCGTCAGACATGTTGGGTAGGCTTGAAACTGCGGGCACCCCGAAGGGTTTCGTTCCATTCAGCCCAGGTCCAATGGGCAAATTGGGTGGACTCGTGGTTGGACTTGGGGTTGGCGCTGGGGCAGCGCCAGGTGCAGTGACAACTGGAGTGGCAACAAGTGGAGCGGTGCCAACTGGCAAGCGGAGTGAGGCAGATGTTGGTTGTGGCAGGGGGCTGGGGCTGGTAAGGGCAACTGCACTTGTGGCAAACTTTGCAGCAGCTGGAACTTGCGATGGAGCTGTCATGCTTGCTGCCACTGGCAGGCTTTGGGCAATCTGAGGTGGGGCGATGTTGGAATTGCTGAGAGGACTTGGACTCATCCGCGTCACTGTCCTTTGACCCTTGGCAACGATTGATGTCGGACACGCTGGCACTCCACGCAATATGCTTCTATTTGCTGTGAGCACCATGGGGCCAGCAGCCTGGCTTGGCACCACCATGCTTTGGGTGGCACACATGCTTGGCAAGTTGGGCTGTGAAGCTGGGATGCTCCATTGCCTCAGCCGTTGTGGCGAGCAATTTTCACATGCTTGCCGTTCGCACTTAAATCAAGCCAAGATACACACCAGGAAGATTTCTGATTTGGGCGGAAGGCGGTGCATATCCAACAGTTTTGTAGGCCTTGGGCCACGGGGCTGGATGGTTCAAACATGCATCTCCATGGTCTGAAGTGCCAACAAATCCCGTGGGCCCGGCAGCTTGCACCGTGGGCGCAGCCGTTGGGCCAACAGACCATCGAGCTGCTTTCGGAAGTGGTCCTGCCAGCTGAGGCGAGCTGAGGCGAGTTGAAGGCTGAAAGCTTGGAGGAAACGTATCTCAAGGAAAACATCCAAAATCCAAACCGATTCTCCGGTCTCTATGACCTCTATGTCTACATCCGACGGTCTTGGACCGGCCTCGTATGGGCGCCTGTTGGTTAAAAACCTGCGGCGAAGGCATCAGGGCTTACCTTAGACCGCGGCATCCAGCCCATAAGGCCGCAACCTTGATCTTTTGTGATTGTCAAAGCTTAGCCGCTGGCGATGTGCTGCGCCTGGAGGAAACCAGGTGATTGTGCAAGCAACTATGATTGCTACGTCACCATGTGTTTGGACCCGGCAGCGATGCAGAATTGCATCAGGGGCGGGGTCTTATTCCGGCGAGTGTGAGTTGGCCAGGGGTGTCTACCCAAAGCCTCTTCAGAGTCACATCTGTGGTGGAGCTTTTGCTTGTGTCATCAGCACGTCATGCAGGTGTCCAATCCCTCTCTCTCTCTCTCTAGCCGGCCTGAACAGGACAGTAAACCATTTGAAGCAATGCTGCTCGAGCCGATATTATAAGCATAATTACTTTGACTTCCGATCATGACACGATATAGCATTCACTTGTACTTTTCAACTGCCGAGTTCTTGAATAAAAAGCACCAGATGTGCGACATCCTGGAAAACAATTGCTCAAGAATCAAGAAACACGAGTTACTTAATTGATCATAAGTTGTGTGAGCAGGAGATTGAGTTGCCGGATTTTTTTTCGATTTTCTTCATTGTCAGCTCTGAAACAGTAGTGGCCAAATCACCAGAACTGCCACAAGCGCCAACAGGCAAAGAAGTCCAGATGGAAATGGAGCTTTGTCCTCGGTTGTCTACTACTATACGAGTCAGTGTCACAGCTCGTGGCGTCTGTGAACACTTTACTTGTACGTCTTGCGAGTTTGATAGCGGGGTTGTCAAGCTGTGCTCCTACTATGCTTCTGCTCTTAACAGTTCGAATTGTCATACTGTAAACTTCAACCAATGTGATGGACTAGTAGTGACTAGAGGGAGAATACTCAAAACCGCGGGTGGCCTGCTTCTCACACCATCTCACATTGACATATTGCCAAAACCATCTCACGGATGTTTCCTAGTGGTGCTAGCAGCTCCACAGCTGTAAGAGTAGCTTTGCCACCTTGACAAATAGACTTTGCATGTGATGGGACCCCAATTACGCTTGCGAAGTCAGCAAGTACCAAACTTTCCCGGTGTCATCACGTGTTGCGGTTTTTCGTTTCGCAGGTGACCGTATGCCCATTCGCCCATTCGGCCTGTTCCGTTGCCAAAAGGCCGTCCGGATTTCCAAGAGCCACTTCTCGTCGCTGCCCGCACTGGCCAGGAGCCGATGTTGCTCGTTCAAGAATTGGACCTGATGTCAATATGACAGCTGTTCCAAACAGAAAACATGGGACTATATAACTATTGAAATTTACAGAATATAACTGTGGTATAAAGTACTTTGGGATACTTGGGGATATGTCGAACTGGTCTTTGATGATCAAAATGGTGAACAAATTGAGCTTTCAAAACACGTGCAGCAAAACAGAAAGAGACGCTAGAAAAACCTGAAACTATGAGGCACTCCAGCTCCTCGTATCCACAAGATTTCTATTGTAGCTCCTCGCATCCGCATTTTGGTTTGCTTGTTGGACATCAGCCATGCCCCATCTCTGCCAAGTGCTGAGGTCGGATGATTTTCGCTGCGAACAAGTGGGGTGCGACGGCTTTGGCAGTATCGTTGCCTATTCAGTTCAATCTTTGCAACAGCTTTGGGTCAGTCTACATCCAGCTGTTTTGTGAAACAATGGCGAATGGCGTAAAACCCAAAGAGTGCAACTGCCTTGGCAACAGCTTCAAGTGAGCGTCTTTTGGGTTTGGGGGGCCGGTGTTCCCAAAAAGAACGAGGAACAACATGACATGAATAGTTTGAACAAAGAAACCAGGTGGCCAACATATTGATGTTTGAACACATCTAGCGGTAGCGCCGTATTCAGCGGTTTTAAGAGGATATAATTAGGAATCCTAACATGGGCAAGAGACACCTCGATCAGGCTTGTGCCGCACAATGGTGGCTCCCCAGCAGCTCAGCGCGGTATGAGAGCAGCGGCTGGAAGGAGACAACCGCTTCACTTCAGCATTGCATTTTCGCAGGCAAAAGGCCTCCAAGTCCTTCACCTTGGTAACTTCAAATTTGCACAACACACCGAAGGCTCCTGACCATGGGTGCTACACATTGAATTCTGAATGTAAATGTGAAGCATATAAGTACAGTATATATATATATATATTATATATATACTGTATCTCTTCCCCGTTGTCATGCTGCATGCCTGGAATTGGGGCACGAGTGCATGTTGGGGAAGAAATCGATTCAAGGATTCGGCAGGCTCAGGTGGTGCACCTTGACCGTGCAATCCACGTGGTTGTGGTCCAAGGGCGTCCCACACTCCATGAGCCAACGTCTGATGCGCAAGAAACACATGGCAGAGGCCAAGTCGATCACTGGTCCTCGCAAATCGTGTATTTGTAGGGCTCCTTGATGGCAACCCAGAGTGACTTCTTCCTCCACCATGCCTCGGATGGCGAAACAATTCGGGCGAGGCTGCATGGAGGGCCAGCTGAAAAAAGGGCAACATCTCACCAACAGATTCAAACTCTGCTTTAGGAAGAACATGTTGCCACAAAAATATGTTGTCTCATTCCACCACCTGGACACAGTGCGGAGGGTATCGACACAAAATGGGAGCATGACAAAGTATCGCAGGCAACGGTTCATAGGGGTACAGTGCCAGCACCCTGCTGAGGCATGCGCAGTTGGACATGTCGCCGGATGCCGAGGTGTTTGTAAGTCGAAAGAAGTCGAGCTGGGCCACAGTTAGCAAGTCACCAGGAACAGGGTCGAACAAAAGCAATGAAAGCTCACAGCTCGATGCTGGAATATCAGCCATTTCCTGTTTGCTTGGGACAGCTAAGAGAACATCTAAGTACCTTCCAAGTAGGAAGAAGTAAGCCATGTTGATCTGTGATCATGCTGAAATTTTTGAAACACTGCATTTCTTTGCGTTTTGGACTTTAGACTCTTCGCACCTGTGCAAGATATGAGCATGCGATCCCTCCACGGGAGAGGCCAACAGCATTCACTCGGAGTTTGGATTGCTCTGCAGTGTTGTTTTTGAGTTCCGCCAAAAGGCTGTCCACCTATTGGCAAAACCGGGTGGAAAGTATGACACGGAAACACTGTGGGATTTCAGAACTCTAGTTGGGGTGGCACATAGACATACCATTGGTTCGAGCTTCAGCACCTGTCGACGCACCATGCGGCACTGGCGGCGCAAGCCTTTTGCACAAATGGTCCCACAAAAGCCATCAGTGACCCCACATCCATCGAAGGCCATCTTCCTCTCACCACGGCAACCGTCCTATATCATGTCCTACAAATGTAATGCTGGAGCTATATCAACGCAACAGGTTGCACAACAAAACTTGAATATGCATTTCAAAAAATCAAGCAATCCAAATGGGCACACTGTAGTAGGGAGACAAAGTATATAATCCCATAAATTATGGGATTCACTTCTATTCCAGGTTGCTTGGAGACAGACTTTTTGGGACGCAGTATGCGGATGTATGCCGAGAACGGTCTAGCCGACGAGATTGCCTTTCGTTCGTGCATATATCATATTTATATGGGATCTGGTCGAAATGTCTTCTTCCAAAAATGGCTGAAAGTCGTGTGTGAATGGGGGCCCGCTACATATTCTTTACTTTTGGCACGCACAGCTGGTTTTGGCGTCAAATTGTAAGAGGCGTCACTAGCGCTGCACCCTTTCAGCTGATCTCCGAGCTCCAAGCCATGCTTGAAACAAAAGACATGTTGCAAGTCAGCCTTGGAAGGGTCCACGCTGGAATCTGGCAATGTTTGCTAGCGCGGTGCTGGTGCGCGGCTAGCGCATTTTTCAGCCAACCACTTTTCAAAAACCTGACGACGTTCTGAACATGTCCTAAGGCAAACTCTACCGTCACTAGCGCAAGTCTACCGCGAACCTAGCGCCCAGCTGCAGAATAGGTGTGTTTAGCTGGGGGCCCGCTACATAATCTAATTAAAAAAAACAACATCATAAGCTACTTTCGACCCCTTTATCTACTTTTTTTTGATTATAGACTTTTGGCCGGACTCCATATATATAATGATAAAATTATGTTTGCTTCTTCACTTCATGTTCGAAGACAGCTTGCACAAGTAGTTAACAAAGCACACTTAACTGCAGGGGCCCGTACTGGTACGGAACAAGTGGGAAATTTGTATCAAAGGACGATGTGATTGCCCCTTTATGGAGTTATATAGATAGTAAACATATACTTATTTGTAGTGGCTTCACTCTGAGTCCTTGGTTGCTCCAAGGGTGCTCCGCCCAAACTTCCACCACTCACATCGAAGGCATCTGGCAAGTGTTGCCACTCAAACCAATCTCCACAAAGCAAGTGTTCTACCAGAACTCATGGGCTCTTTGAGTTACTAGAAGCGATGCACTTGTTACTAGTAGCTTATTGTTTCTAAT